ATTACTGACCCTATACCAAGAAACAACTTCCATATTTTCTCACCCATTGGCAAGAAAACCACATCAAAAGAAGGCGCTAAATTACAAGTGCTAAAAGAAGACTGCGCACTTTTTTCCAGGTTATACATCTCTTGTCAAAGCCGAGATGGAAATCTTGAAGAGTTCTTCAAGTTCGAAAATCAGCCTTGGCCGCCATCTCTCTCGCAAGTAGGGCAGCTAAGAACAGGACAAAAAGCAGAATTAATAAAGTGTTTGCCGAAACCGTCGCCTGAGGTTGCAGGACACCCAAGTGTAGATGCAATTATTCTTGATGGTGCAGTTATTGTCCAAATGTTGCCACCCAAAACCGCAAGCACATTTGACGATTACTTCAATGCGGTATTTGCACCCTATATTCTCAGACAGCTAGAGTCAGTGAAGCGACTTGACATAGTATGGGATGTGTACCGAGATGACTCTCTGAAAAGATCTACTCGAGAGAAGAGAGGTTATGGTCAACGTAGAAAGGTATGTGCAGCAAAACCATAATCAGTGTACATTGCATATATTTAAGATAGAACATTCGATTAATTTGAGAACATTCCCCCCCCCTGTAAAACAGGTGCTTCCATCGACAAGAATTCCTCGGGACTGGAAAGGGTTTCTTAGAGTCAATGAAAATAAAGACGAGTTTTTCAAACTCTTTGCTAACGAGGTACAGTGATAATGAATACAAATGCGATAGCAGTGTGCATGGTTGCAAACATTAAATTTTATTTGAAATAATTAATTTTTTGGTCACAACACAACTTAATTTCGAATGTCAACCTACGTTTAACACTAACATCCATTCCATTCATTTCGTTATCAGGTTGTTTCTCTTGACATTCCAGATGGCAAAGAGATCTATTCAACACACGCTGACAGGGTCTTATCTTCAGTWAACAGAATGGATATGAGTCTTCTTCAACCTTGTACCCACGAAGAAGCGGACACCCGTTTGATGATTCATACACTTGATGCTAATTGTTGTGGCCATCGAAAGATAAAGATTAGAAGTAACGACACAGATGTAGTTGTGCTCGCAATATCAGTTGTAAATTCTCTTCAGGTAGATGGATTATGGATCACCTTTGGTTCAGGAAAGCATYTTTGCAACATTCCTGTGCATTCCATCGCATCTATATTAGGCCCAGGAAAAGCATCAGTATTGCCTATGTTTCACGCCATTACCGGGTGTGATACTGTCTCTTTTTTTGGTGGCCGCGGAAAGAAGACAGCATGGGACGTGTGGAACGTGTTTACAGACCTGACACCAGCTCTGCAAACTCTCAAAGAATCTCCTGAAGATGAAGGATCTATTGCCAAAGTTGAACGTTTTGTCGTTCTTTTGTACGACCGCACCAGTAACATCAAGACAGTTAATCAAGCAAGGCAAGAGTTATTTTCAAAGAAGGCAAGGAACCTCGACAATATCCCTCCCACACAAGCTGCACTATTACAGCATATCAATAGAGCTATATTTCAAGGAATTCATATTTGGGGCCAGACACTTCTGAAGCAACCAGTTTTACCCAGTCCTTCAGAATGGGGATTGCAGAAAGATGGCAGTTCATGGGCTCCATATTGGACGACTCTTCCTCAAGCAAAGGAAAGTTGCTACGAGCTTATTCGATGCGGATGCAAGACTGCTTGCAAAGGACGGTGCAAGTGTAAAAATGCTAATTTGGTTTGTACAGGCTTATGTGGTTGCGGAGGAAGCTGTACACAGAGAGATGAGTAACCAAGTGGACAGAAATTTCATGAGCAAACAATGAATGATATTTAATCCTGAAACATTTTAATTATTCATGCAGTATAAATTGTTTTATATATGACTTAACGTTTTTAGTATTTCCGTTTAATCAAAACAAAGATGATCTCAATTGGTCTAAAAAAGCCACAAAAATAGGAACTTTTTGATTTTTCGACACAGGGATCCCAAGCTAAAGACGATTTTTTTTAAAACCATCACGTGATTGTGATTATTCAACTCAAAGCAAGTGAAATTGCTCACTTGACACAAATTCGATGTTTAGTGGTGGAAGTATCTCAAAACTGTCGTATTTTAGAGTGTTTTTATGTTGTAGCCTCGTTTCCATGTCGGAAATTCCGGGCATGCCCATTCCTGCTGTCCCCAAGCGAATTTCGCTTGGCCCCATTTAAAAAAATGTTTGTCCCAGGGAGGTTAACAATCATGCCAAGTTTCATGCTTTTATCATTAAAGTGAACAATTTTTGACGTTAACAGCCGGACTATAACAACCGCAGCACTAACAACAACTTACTCCTCAACGTCCACCGACCTTTCTTTACCAATCACCCTCTTTCCCTTCCCCACAACCACAACCACAACCTCCAACACCGTACCACCACTCAATCATCTCTACCTTAATCACTAACAGTAGTAACTATAAACAGCACTACCTCTTCCACCACAAATACACATAAACGTTTAACACCACCATGACAGGAAATAGCCGCTTATAATTATCATCGTTTAAAACAAATCCTTAATTCTTTGAATGATCTAGGTCTGTGAGGACATCAACGAGTGTGCAAATGGTAGAAATGGCGGATGCTCTATTCATTCAGAGTGCATCAACACTCAGGTACATTGATTTCTAACATAGAAACAGCTTGATCAGTTATTTCCTACATGACAGAAAACTAGCTCAGAGCTAAGACTTTGGGCCAGAGCCCATACTCAAATGAAATTCAACAGGTAAATATTTAATCAACAAGAATATAAAACCAACAAAACAATACAGCACAGCACAGCAAGCCTTTCGTTTTACACTGAAGTAGTACTGATAAATGAAACATCGATGATGAACCAAAATAAAACGTACATTTACTTTTGAATAGCGTCCTATATAGATATAACAATTGTTTTTGGTTCTTGTCGATGTACAGGGAAGCTATCGATGTGGACCATGTAAACCTGGCTATGATGGCGACTCTACTCGTGAGTGCAAACGAGTGTTATTCTGCTCTAATGCTCCAAGGGCAAATCCTTGCGGGAAACTTGCACATTGTATACCAAGAAACGATGGGCGGAATTATGAATGCAAGGTTTGTAATTGTTTTGTTGCAGTATGAATATGCTTTTTGGGGGTGGGGACTCAGAGCATCAAAAAAATTTTCCATTTTTCATTCTTTGACTTTCAAGTGTCTTTTGTCGTTTGTTTTGACCCCAGACTGAGGAGCCTACATAAAGAGCCCATAAATGTGGGGCTAAAAAAAGCTCAGACATAAGGAGGAGCAAGGGAGGGAAAGAAGAAAGAAAAGAAGCGCAACCCTTTCCCATTTATTCCTTCTGTACTCTGTCAATTGTCCTTGTCCACCCAAACTCCTTGCTGGTACGCAGACTAAAGATTCAATACTACAAGCCTTTTTCGAGTCCTTTAACATTCTGTGTAATCCTTAGTGATTGTCCCAATATGTTGTATATATCATTCTATGGACTATTCAGAAGTTAATATACGTCTCTTACCATTGACAGTGTAAGCCAGGGTACGGTGGCGATGGCGTTCGCTGCGGAAAAGATTCCGACATGGATGGATATCCAGACAGAGCGCTTGGCTGTAAAGGACCGAAATGTGCCAAGGTAAAGATTTTTTGAATCAAGGCTTCTGTGTGGAGGAATAAATGAAGGATAGTAAAAATTGGGAAATGGGATGAGGAAAGTGAAAAGAAGTAGGGCTGGGATGAGCGGTTACGTATAAAGCTAGATGAAGTGTTCTAGGGTTGAAAGGTGGCTTAAAACCCTGACAAACGTTCCCAACATTTGTCCAGCATTTAGCAAACATTTGTGGGGTAAAATGTTGGAACCGTTAAAATAGTTGGATCAAAATGTTGTTGGGTTGATTGTTAACTAAATGCTGGGTCAAATGTTGGGACGAAACACTCTAAGAAATGAGGTAATGCAATGTCAACACACAGGGGATTATCTGCATTCTAATCTGCATTAGGAGGGTCATTTCCAACTGACCCAAAAAAATCCCTCCCTCCCCTCCCTGAAAATACATACACGTTAGAAACCAACCGTCAAAGGAAAGAGGGCTCAAAGGCATCCAAGGATTCCTGGGGCATCAGATACTAACACTTGATTCTGTTATAGGACAACTGTCGCGAAATACCCAATAGTGGGCAGGAAGACGTGGATGGTGATGGTACTGGAGATGCGTGTGAATACGATGCTGATGGTGACCGAAAACCATCTAAGGATCAAGTAAGAATCGCTGTTATTACAGTTGAGCCCGCAATGAGATATACTATGCCTGTCGACTGATCATTTGCATCTAATGCATTCATCCCGAAAATATCTTCAATGAATCAACTAGTCTACCTTGGCATAATGTTCACCATTTCAAATCACTTGTCACTCTTGAGTATAAGGTTCCTTGTTTGAGTGGTATCCATATGTGTCCTCTCATGCGCAACTGTTAAACAAAAATATACATATCTTAAGAAATGACAAGTGATCTGAAATGGATGAGATCCATTATTCTAAAAAAATCCAAACCCTAAGTCAGCGTTTGGGCTTCTTGTATCTAAGCTCTCTATGAATTGATTCGTCATAGGACAATTGCCCAAGCGTGCCCAATGAAGATCAACAAGATACGGACGCTGATGGTGTAGGAGACGCCTGTGATAACTGTCAAACAGTTAACAATCCCGATCAAGAGGACACTGATAAAGATGGCATTGGTGATGCGTGTGATGTGGACATTGATGGAGATGGTGAGAATAGCAGCTGCCATTGATTGAGACTAACTAGGGTGGATTTGTGGAGTTCAGAAAAAGATTTCAATCCATGTATCTGTTATTTTTTTTAGGTATAATCAACGTACTTGACAATTGTCCAAAGGTTCCCAATCGAGACCAAAAAAATACGGACGGTGATCCTCATGGCGATGCTTGCGATAATTGCAAAAGAGGAAAAAACCCAGACCAGGTAAGAGAAAAGTTGATTTGAGTAGAAAACCCAGATAATGTGTCTTTATATCGGATCTAAGCATCAAATTAATGACCACATCCGTACGTACCGCCTCTGGGTAGCCTTTATCAGCCATGCCCTTCTTATCTATGGAAATGGTCTTATTCATTAACTCATAATTGTCTTGGTAGGCCGACAAAGACGGTGATGGTATTGGAGATGTGTGCGACTTTGATCAAGACTAGTAAGTTGTTTTATTACTAATAAAATCGATATAAATGAACTTGCATCATCTATTGTTGTCACAAGCTTGAATTGTCAGATAATTACCTTTTCCTTAAGCAATATATTTTCTTTGCAGCGATAGGGATGGTGTGGATGACAGGCATGATAATTGCCTTCGAAAACCGAATGCAGCCCAACTGGACACCGATGGAGATGGACTGGGTAATAATATAATATATTATATATAATTATTGTTTATTGTATTCCAAAGTTGGAAAATTACAACAGAGACAGGCTTCAACTAGGTGGAAGTCCAAAGATCAAATTGGAATCTGGAAGTTGATATTTTAAGGAGGGAGGAAAACCGTTAAAGCAAAGCACAGGATCAACAAGCCACTCTACCACGCCCAGCAATCGAACCAAAGTCGCATTGTTGAAGGCCGACTCAATAGCAGTGCACACCGCCAGTGATTCTCCTAAGAAATTAATTACGCTCTTAAGATGGTTTCCTTTTTGAAAGTTGTTAAGTAACTTTTGACCCGATGCCAGCTACAAGTACATTTCATCATTTATCTAATTATCATTATTTTTCGTATCATTACAAGCAGGCATCATTCAACTGTACAGTTAATTTCTGTTATGTGAATGCTATTAGCATGCCGACTAATGTCTATTATCTTTCTCTATCTACAGGTGATGTGTGCGATTCTGATGATGACAACGATGGCATTCCTGATTACAAAGACAACTGCCGATTGGTCAGAAACGTTGATCAGAAGGACAGTGACAGTAAGTACTACCATACCATCACCCCTTACCTTTGCTACCACTACCACTATCATCCGATTAGCACCATACCTACCACCCTCCACTTTCATCTTCCTCCCTATCAACATTATCTTAGCTGTTATAACATCGCTACCACCCTCGACCAACTTTTTTCTCTCCAGATGATGGTATCGGAGATGCGTGTCAAGGTGACTACGATAACGATGGGGTACCAGACGCTGTCGATATTTGTCCATACAACCACAACATAACCAAGACCGACTTCAGTTCATTTTTCAATGTAAATTTTGACCCTCTCAGCAAAATAAAGGATTATCCACAATGGAAAGCAAGTAAAAAGGTATTTATGAATGGTAAAACATATCCTTAGCACTAAGGTCAGTATGCGAACAATACGTGATCAATATCCGCCATGTTGGACTTGAGTATAATTTTTAACTATTGTGAGTATAATTCTCATGAGTATAATTCTTATTTTAGTTTGGGTATAATTCTTATTAGCATATACCAACTTGTGTACTTTCTAAGAACGCGCGCGCTCATTGGTTAATTGGAGGTAAATACTGTACGATATTCACCTCTGAAACTCGGAATATTGAGTCTCCAACAAAATGGCATCTGCCGGCAATCGTTTTGCTACAATTTCCGATGAGGAAATTGAAAAAATGAAAGTAAATGTCATTCCTATCAGTGCTAAAAAGGCAACGAAGTATGGCCTAAAAGTTTTGCTAAAAGTTTTGCTAAAAGTTTTGCGTGAATTTGTCACGCAAACTAAAAGTTTCTGTTTGTTTGTTTTAATTGAATTATATTAAATAAAAATAAGTTACTCTGTACACAAGTTGGTATATGCTAATCCTGTCTCCTATTTGACGGAAGCAACTCCTTGCCTTGTAAAAAATACCTCGTAAAATTCAAGTCATGTTTTCTTTTTCCCTTTTGTAGGGAAATGAGGTGTATTTGCGAAAAAACAGCAATGTGGGATTATTTGTTGGTGAGTATTATTATCATTATTATTTAACATTAATTATAGTATTGTTAATGACTATCTTATATTAGTAAAAATACACAGGTGATTATTGAAAATCTCGCGCGCTGATTTGTCGAGAAACTCACACTATCACAAGATAATCACCTCCAGCGATAATCCAAAATGGCAGATTCCAAATTACCGCTGTGTTTCTTGATTGCAGACTCATTTGCACAGGGTTAGCCTCGAGTTTGTGCAGAATATTCACGTGTTCCAGTCAAGGTCCCTCGAGTTTCAAAATGTTTGTATTGTTGAAGTTGCAGGCATTCTTTACTTTTCTGTTGGTATTTGTGAATATTTAAATACTGATACGAGGCTAACCCTGTGCAAATGAGTCTGTAATCAAGGAACACAGCCGTAATTTGGAATTCGAAACTGGTCTATTAGAAATAATGAAAGAAAATGCTGTCCCCAAAAGAAAGAGGCTAACAAATTTGCACTAACTTTGTTTAAAGCTAAAAAAGGACTTAAAACAATCAAATAAGCTCAAACAAACTGTTTTGATTGACCGGATCTTGACCGGATTTTGAAAATGACTGGAAAAAATATTACAAAATAAGCTTTCTATTTAACTTTAAGAAACATAACCAGCGTACTGGAGGGGGGAGTGGGGGCATGGCCCCCTTTGTCCCTCCCTGGATACGCTCCTGAACTTACTGACGTTCTAAACATCATGAATAATTAATAAGTATTTAGACCTATCAGGTCCTTCAAATCCATCACGTGCATGGATCTTTATAACCGATAAAGAAACTCGACAACCTAAAAAGCCCGGGGGCGGTTTTGATTTCGGACCCAGGGAAAATCGGGGCTGATTGTGCTGATGAATAAGTGCTCACTGAACCGGAACACAAAGAGAACTCTTGGTCACCAAACTGGAGCGTTTAGAGAACTCTTGCCTATTGCCTAACTTGAACGTACAGAGCACTGAGTTTTAGAAGTAATTTAGAAAATACGTGGATGACCACTCATATTCTAAACATTACTTATTACACTACTGCAGAGCAACAACATCAACTAGCTGAGAACTTACAGATATATAAATACAGTTTTGACAACACTTACCAACTGACTCTTGGACAATATTGTGTTTGTAGCCACGCCAAAGTATGAAGACATCGAGTTCAGAGGTACTATGTTTGTCAATACACATCAGGATGATGACATCATTGGCTTTGCTTTTGGCTACCAACAATATGGCCATTTCTTTCTTTTGTCATGGAAGCGAAAAGAACAGATGTACTGGATTGTTAATCCCTTCAGAGCAACTGCTAAAACATGGCTAACACTGAAGGTACAATACCAAACAATATTGTTGAAACTAGATTAGAATTTTTTACTTTAGTTAACATCGTAAGAAAAAAACAAACACTTACGGTTGCGCTTTTTCTTACAACAAGATTGTAAACCAACTTATAAAAACCTTTCAAGTGTTTTTTTTGTGTGATCTCTTCTCGTTCCTACGGCCTTCAATAGCACAACACTAACATGACAGCCTCGTGTTTCTCTTCAAAGCCTTCATTAGCCTATAAGTATCTGAATTCCGGCTTCTAATTTAGCAAAAGAATCGAGGATTTTTAGATAATTTCATTGCGGTTTTGTGCTAGAAGCAATGTCCTATTTCCTAATTAGTTTTGCCGAATCCGAACTGATTAAACGTTATGCAGTTTCAAGCCTACTTTTCACCGAGATTTCGCAACCATGTTCAAAAAGGAAAAATTATGTGATATAAATCTATAAGTATTTTGAAGAAATAATTCTTATTTTAGTAGAAAGGCTACAAAAAAAGAAAGAACTACAATTTTTTACCTAGATTTTCTGGGGAAAGAATTCGAAAATCTCTCAGTGTTGGAAACTTTGTAGTTGTGGCGGGAAATGTTGTAAACGTTTTGCGCTCACGCGTCAAAATGGCGGGAAAAATCGACTTCCGGGTGGTACAAAATGGAAAAGCAGTTCTGTATCAAAGATTGTTCAAAATTTTCTTCATTTCGTTGAAAATTAAAATTGCTAAATGTCGGCAATATTCTCATTTTTGGCTGTTTTAGTGATTTTAGGTGATTTTCAAGCCCAATTGCACTACATCATGCAACCGTTGAGAAAACGGGGACGCGAATGGAACAAATATTGCTACTTCATCGTTCCCACTTCCGGTGATGATGTATAAGAAAATTATTTCTTTTATACAGGAAAGAAGTAAAAAATTGCCCATCACTATTTCTTTATATTATTATTTATTATTATTTTTTCCTTAACTTTAGGTTTCAACTCCGCATGTGTTATGGTTTGTCAATATATATTTCAAAATGATGTCTTATTTAAACGTAAAATTATGTATTCTATACAGAGAGTGAAATCCAGCTCAGTACCTTCACATGGAATTCGCAATGCTTTATGGCATACTGCAGAAACTAGACGTCATGTAAGTATAAAACTGTCCGGGGGGGGGGGGGGGGGG